ACTCTGACCCTAGATATTCAGGCTCTGGTACCCCACCCAAAGGGTGTTGACTCCAAAGTGACTGTTAGATTTCCCAGCTGGTCATAATCAGTCAATAAATGAACCTGTTTTGAGGAAGCATGATGTACAAAGTTCTGTGCCTATTTTCGTTATGGAGGAATTCATGCCCTCTGGAGCTTCTAAACTAGTTGGAAAAGCAATTCATGTGAACAGTGTAAGGCAGTACAGAAAAACGGCCATAGGAATGATCTAATTAATCTGGGGTTCACAGGTGGGTTTCAGAGGCATCCACAGATGGCCCATAATTGCTTGCATAATTTTGTATATGCAAGCACACGTTTTTTGAGTAAGTGCCTAGCTTTCACCAACTTTACCTGGAAAGGTAGAGAGCTTTTTCTGCCGTTAGAGTTTGAGCAAGAGTATTCTTTATACCTTCGGTAGTTGAGCAGGTAAGACTTGAACTCATTCTTAGAAAATGGTATTCAGGGCAGGAGGCAGCCCTGAAGGAAAGAATCCCCAGGAGATATCCTGGGAAGACTGCTGCACTTAGAACTAGAGGCCTCGTGTCTCTGAAACTCAGTAAGATGGAAATCTACAAAATAGTGGTAATTGCTGCTTCCCATAGTTTGGTGAAGTCACATAAGCTCCTCTTTTCTTTCTTTCTTTCTTTCTTTTTTTTTTTTAATTCACTCTGTACCTTAGTACGGTGCTCGACTCATGTCAGAGTGGGCACTAACCCGTATTTGATGTATGTGTGAGTTAACTGAAATAACAAATGTGAGAGGGCTTTGTAAATAGTAGAGTACTGCTTCCGCAAAAGATCTTTGTTGCCAAGCCTGTTTATTTTGTCCTTTGCAAACAGCCTGCACTAAAGTGAGCAGCTTCTCCCTCCTTGAAACTGACCCTTTCCCCTGTAATAGGGCTCAAAGGGCCAGCTCATCTGATGGAGTGTCCCTGGGCTGGTCAGATGACTGATAGCTGCGCCATCAACACTGACAAGATGTGCAGTTTCCTAAGAGCCCAGAGATGACCTCACCCTCCAAGGGCTTGGCCTCTTCACCCCAGTGCCTGCTGAAACACACCTGCAGCCTTGCTCTACTCCAGGACAGGGAGATTCCAGGAGCACCTTTGCTGTTCTCAGCAAAGAGGCTGCGAGGGTGGAAGGGAAAGAGACAGCAGGTGTGACAGAGCCTCTGATGGGACTTCTAGCAGCAGAAGCAGGACCACTGATTGTATCCTCTCCGTGATGTCCCAGGATAGGAAAAGTGGTCAAGTGCTCCTTTACTGAACAGTTTCGGTATCTCTAGTCTTCTATCCACAGCTTCCTAGTTGTGCCCATGATAAGAGAGAATAGACCTACTATCAATTTTTTTTCTCTTGCATGTGCAATCCAGCAGACAGAGTGACTCATCATCATTACCACCAAACTCTAAGCAACTTGGGCTGGTTGAGAGTCGGAAAGATTTTTAAATGTCATTGGTTGAAGGTGACAGAAGTTCTCAGAATGACAAGAAAGATAGAAGTGGTTTACACATGTAATAGTTCTTCGCCAGACACAGTGGCTCGTGCCTGGAATCCCAGCACTTTGGGAGGCCAAGGTGGGTGGATCACTTGAGCACAGGAGTTTGAGACCAGCCTGGGTAGCATGGCAAAACCCTGTCTCGACAAAAAATTAGCTGGGCATGGTGGTGCGCACCTGTAGTCTCAGCGACTCGGGAGGCTCAGGTGGGAGGATCACTTCAACCCAGAAAGGTGAGGCTACCGTGAGCCGTGATTGCACCACTACACTTCAGTCTGGGCAAAAGAGTGAGACCCTGTCTCAAAAAAACAGAACATTTCTCCACTACAGGTACTGCTAAGGGAAACAGTGTGTGAGCTGATAGAATGAGCTCCAAGCTAAGAATTAGGGACCCTTGTTCTAGATCTGTTTCTGAGAGACTTTCCACATGTCATGTGACCTCTTAGAGCTCCCAGGTTCATCACCGTAAATGGGGGATAGTACCTCTACTCCCTCTCAGGATCATTGTGATAGACAAAATTTATGATGTCTCAAGCGGTATAAAGGTATACATATTTGTCAATAAGAACATATACATGAACATACCTATTATGCGCAGAACACTCACTATGTGTCAGGTCCTTTACATTTATCTACTGCAACCCTCACAACAGTCCTATGTGGTTGTATTGTTCTTCCATTTTTGTGGACGAGGAATCAGAGACACATGCCTGGAATCGTACAGCTCACAGGCATTAGTCTACCCGGAAGGCCAGGCCTGTTTCCATCCTCCACTCTGATACTAGCTCATAATTCTTTTCTCCTGTGTAATGTTACTTTGTCCCTTAAAATATTACACACCCCTCTGGACTTTACCATCTCTTATGGACTGGCCCCACTCTTATCCAAACCTTTCGTGCTATAACTTTGATTGATTGATTAACTTTGTCACCCAGGCTAGAGTGCAGTGGCACAGTCTCAGCTCACTGCAACCTCTGCCTCCAAGGTTCAAGTGATTCTCCTGCCTCAGCCTCCCTGGTAGCTGGGATTGCAGGTGCACGCCACCATGCCCAGCTAATTTTTGTGTTTTTAGTAGAGATGGGATTTCACCGTGTTGTCCAGGCTGATCTTGAACGCTTGGCCTCAAATGATCTGCTCTCTTGATCATTGTATTTTGTAAAAATACAAAAATTAGCCAGGTGTGGTGGCACGTGCTTATAGTCCCAGTTACTTAGGAGGGTGAGACATGAGAATCACCTGCATCCAAGAGGTGGAGGTTGCAGTAGACCAAGATCACGTCACTGCACTCCAGCCTGGGGACAGAGCAGGACTGTCTTCAAAAAAAAAAAGCCGAGTGTACAGGGAGGAGGAGGACCTGCGTGTTCTTGTTATCATTACGCCCCTGGGTCCCATGCAGACGCTTCAGAAAAACGATGAGGCTGTAGCACTGTAGCACTAGATCTTGTCAGGCAAGACTGGGGAAGTGCTGGAAGTGGGGACTTCGCTTAATCTCTCCACTCCTGTGCGACAGGGCAAAGGGTTATTCATTCTCCTTTAGAGATGGAAAAGGAGATAGAAGGACTGGCCACGCATCACGCGTGAGTAGGCAGCAGAATCAAAAGCCTACTATATGTCAGAGCCCTCCTCCCTAAGGAGCTGGTCACCTGGGAGTTGCTGCCAACGGTGGTCGAGTGTTGCTGTGGGTTTGGCACTGTCAGTGCATGGCTCTAGTGCAGCTCAGGTCCTGGGAGAATCATCTGACACCCAGCCCCACACCCCCAATTTCCAGTGCCTAGCTTACCAGATGTACAACCGGACCCTTCTTGATGGAGAGAGGTGGTATAGGGAGCTCCCCATTCTCAAGTCCTACCTGACTTGATTCCAAGCAACCCGCTCCCAAGTTGGGGGGGGGGCCTCTTTTTGGGGAGAGGCACTTACAGATGCTGCCCATTCTCCCAGTGCCAGGAATCTTCCCTCCAATTAGGTATGAGATAAATCAAAGCCAAACTTGGCTGATGAAATTCAGGAGCCAGTAGTGACCCTTGCCACACATATAAATCGCAGCAGGCTGGCCAAGGGTCTTTGTCTGGCCGGGAGAATTCAGGATTATCTGGCCCTCTTTGCTGATGTATGGAGTCACCGGCTGTCGGGGTGTTTACTAACGGTTATCACCTCACTGCTGTGGCCGCTATCAGAGGCAGGGCCGCCTGCCGAGGCTGGGGCTCGCACCCTCTCTATTACCACCTGTCATTGGTAGGGAGTGTGTACTGACACTGCCCAGTCTTGACTGCCTGGGGAAGATAGTTTCTGACGGCTGATCAAAGAGGAGAAGCAAGGCCTGATAAAGAGTGTGTGTTTCGTGTACTTTTAACTTTGGGAAACATTGGCATTTGCATTTTTTTCCCCATCTTCCTGGTGCTGGCAGGAACCAAGCCCAATAAATGCAGTGGATTCAGTTACCTAATCGCTGGGGAAATGGTGTGTGCTTAAAGCAACGGAGCATGACTATAATCTCCTTCCAAGAGAGTAGATGAAATAAGCTTTCACAGAAGACCTCCTGTATAATAAAGTAGAATGATTTCAATTTGGACTTTGAAGTGATCTCGCATGTAAAATCTAATCTTAGCATTCAGCAGAATGCCACGTACTTTTTGGAATTTGGGAGCAGCTTTGGCTTGAGGACAGATCCTTGCCGAAGATGCTATCACCCAACTCTTTGCTGGTATCCCCCAGAATAATTCCCTGGTTGTTCACTTGTCCTTGGGTAGCTGGGAGACTACATGGGGAAGCAGAACACGTTCTAAACTGAGGCATCAGGAGAGCCAGTCCTTGGACCTTGTCTGCCACAGACTTGCTATTCGATCTTGGGCCATAACATCTCTGAACTTCAGTGATAAATGAGAAGGTTGGTTATAGGTTATAGGATATAATGGTTAAGAAAGCTTTAAAAAAATTAGGCTATATAACCCCTTCTTTACAGAAAAATTTATTTATTTATTTATAGAGACAGGGTCTCACTCTGTTGACCAGGCTGGTCTCGAACTCCTGGCCTCAAGCAGTCTTCCCGCATTGGCCTGTCAAAGTGTTGGGATTACAGGTGTGAGGCACCACTCCTGGCCCTAAATGAAATTTTAGGTGGAATCCCATTGTATCAATAAAAGGAAAGTAGGGATGCGTGGGTTGAACCTGGGAAGGAGGTTGCCTTCCCCCGTCCCAGTTCTTGAGGTGGTCGCTGAAGACCAGGGGAGCCCTGTAGCTCCTCAGAAATAGTTGTGAAAACCACCAGCCTCAGTGTAACAGAAGTCACTCCAGAGACCTGCGTGTTCTCAGCGGCATGAGCTGCTTTATTCTGCGCTACACATGCTGTTTCGCGGTATGCTTCCATCCTGCAGAAAGGCGGAAATGGACCCTGGGTATGGAAAGGAGCGGGCGGGAGGGAGACAAGAACGACCTGCTCTCTGAAGGTGTGGACTCAACGTCAGATGTCCCGTGTGTGCCACAGGTACCTTTGACCGGAGCGTGACCCTGTTGGAGGTGTGCGGGAGCTGGCCCGAGGGCTTCGGGCTGCGGCACATGTCCTCCATGGAGCACACCGAGGAGGGCCTCCGGGAGCGGCTCGCTGACGCCATGGCCGAGTCACCCAGCCGGGATGTCGTGGGATCCGGAACAGGTAAAGGGGTCATCAGACTTCTAGCCTGACTTGATCAGGACCCGCACCTACTGGCGCAGAGCTCCTTTGGAATCGTTAGTGGGCATACGTTTGTTTCTGCTGTCCATTTCTTTAGTTAGCACTCCAACAGCTGTCCATTTGAGCTCTGGTGTGGAAATCCTGTGTAAGGGGAGCTCCCAGTGGAACTGCCCTTCCCGCGTGGAATACCACATGCAGGATTGCTGTGACCAACACCACTGTGCAAGTGGCTCCCAGAAAGACACCTTCCTCCTTTGGGAGTGTCCCCAAGTCTTCCAGCAGCGCCCAGGCAGAGTCCTCAGGCTGCACTGACTTGGATTGGCAAGTCTTAGCAGGACCCTCCCCCTTGAGCGGAGTAAGCATGAAGCAGGCTGGGCTGGTTCCAGCCCCCACCAGCTTTTCCTCACGCTGCCTTCGGCCCTGCATTCTTGCTTCTGAGCGAGTCCAGCAACTGGGGTCTGGGTGGCTTCCTGCATCCCAGAGCAGTCAGAAGATGTCCTTAAATGAAAAGTGAGTGCTGGGCCAAGAAAGCTTGCATGCACGCACACGTGCGCGCGTGCGCGCACACACACACACACACACACACACACACACATACACACACACACCTCACTTGCTGGCTGGAGGCCTTTTCCCTCTGGCTTGCCTGAGTCTTCTCAAGACTGTTACTCTGCTGTGCACTGCTCCATCCCCACTCCATATGCCTTCCTGGAAAGAGGACCCCGGTGAGGAGAAACTTACAACCCTGGGGCGGGCACCGATCAGGACCAGCAAGATTTTGAGTCAGAGCATTGAGGCAGGGCTTGAAATGTCTGGCATCATCAAAGGTCGCGCTTCCCTGTGACTCCTCCAGATCTTTAGATGTTTGGGTTTATAGTTAGGCATTTCCCCACTTCCGCCCACCCCCAGGCCAGCCGCTCCACTAAGATGTGTCATCTCCACAGCACCAGCTGTGCGGTGACGTTGAGTCCACACCTTCACTCACACCGGCTGTGTGGCCTGCCCATGGTGCTCCTGTAATAACTGGCAAATGAACGGGATGAAACCAATGGGTGCAGGGGAGGAAGAGTTTGGCTGCATGGGTAGCATGTCATCATGCCATTGTTCTAGATGAGAAGCAGCTCTGCCGTCTCCCGGGGCTTGACTTCGCTTCCCCTGGAAGGGGGCCTAAGCAGGGATGTGGCTCATGGCACAGCCTTTCGCCTGCATCTCTGGGGTCCCTGGCCAGCCTTGGCTCACGTAAACCAGAGCCCGCTGCCACTGGACTCAATCCCCGGCAGCCTCCCTCTTCCAAGGGCTGGAGGAGCTCCTGGGTGGCTCTTCTGTCCCACCACCTTCTCAGGAGCCCCTGGGAGCATTTCACTGTCATCCAGCAAGCGGATTTGAAGGTGCGTTGAGTCACAGCTGTGGAACTTCAGTCTGGCATCGTAACCTGCGCGGCACTGGCAGCAATGCATCTGCCAGACAGCTGAGGGATTCAGGAGAGGCTTTGTGCCTGAAGCAGGTTCAGTGAAATTAAAAAGAATAAGAAAAGAGAAAGAAAGATAGAGGAAATTAAAACTGCATGACCCACAGGTCCCTTTTGTTTTTTTGAGCAGAGGGATTTCATTGTCCTCCCCAAACTGTCACCAAAAGTGATTCAGTTGGCTTTCTCTGACCATATTAGATGTGTGTTTTATTTTTAAGAAAAAAACTACTTTTTTTTTTCCCAGACGGAGTCTCGCTCTGTCACCCAGGCTGGAGTGTAGTGGCACGATCTCAGCTCACTACAACCTCCACCTCCTGGGTTCAAACAATTCCACTGCCTCAGCTTCCCGAGTATCAGGGATTACAGGCGCCCACCACCACACCTGGCTCATTTTTGCATTTTTAGTACAGACAGGGTTTCACCATGTTGGCCAGGCTGGTCTCGAACTCCTGACCTTGTGATCCACCTGCCTTGCCCTCCGATAGTGATGGGATTACAGGCAGGAGCCACCATGCCCAGCCTAAAACTACGTCCGCTTTAAAGGCCAATAAGCGAAGCAGATCTTACGGAAGTTACCCACTTTCCGTGGTGGAGAATCACTTTTCACATTTTCCAACTAGAGGTAAATCATCAGCCTGGTGGTGCACCCTGGGACTTTGAAAGGGCACCCTGGTACAACTGTGCCCAGGTCAGCCTATTGCCTGTAGATAGCTGGGGAAATACAGTGCAACATGGGTGACAATGTCCAGCAAGTCACTCTTTGCCCATAGCAACCTCGCAGTCCCCCTTTCTTCCCACAAGCCTGCTTCTATAGTTTGGCTCATAGGACAGAGTGTCAGCAAGTGTATGCCTCTGTTAGGTCCTCTGATGCCGCAGAGATAAGTCAGTTCCCTTAATGCTTTCCAGAAGGCACAGCAATCGGGACCAATGGCCTCATTATCGAAGTATGAATGAAGCACAGAGGCCAACTGAAAACTTGCTCTCATGATCCCTGATGAAGAAGCCTATTCTATAGCATGCCTCGCTGTTAAATAGGTGTAGCCAGCCTTGATTTGTAGATTTCTGTAATGTAAAAACTCCTATTATGGCCAATTTCAACCTGTCACATGGTGTCAGCTGGCTAACAGAGGTTCTGGAGATGTAACAGTGTGCATCCCAGCACCTGGCTGGTAAGCTGTACCATAGGGCAGGTCAGCTACCCACAAGGTAAAGCAAAAGCTTTTCAAATTAACTATTCAGAGTGGGGTTTCACTATTCTGGGGGTTGGTGGGTAGCTTTGGTCGAAGGACACACAGTTTCAGTTAGATAAGATTAAGTTCAAGAGTGCTATTGTCCAGCATGGTGATGCTTGTTAGTAACAATGTATTCTTGAACATCACTAAGAACAGGCGTCCCCAAACTACGGCCCGAGGGCCGCATGTGGCCCCCTGAGGCCATTTATCCGGCCCCCGCCGCACTTCAGGAAGGGACACCTCTTTCACTGGTGGTCAGTGAGAGAAGCACAGTATGTGGCGGCCCTCCGATGGTCTGAGGGACAGTGAATTGGCCCCCTGTGTAAAAAATTTGGGGACGCCCGACTAAGAGGGTAGATTTTAAGCGTTCTCAACACAAAAAATGGTAAGTATGTGAGATAATGCATGCTAATTAGCTCAATTTAGCCATTCCAAATGTATACATATTTCAAAACACTGTGTTGCACATGATATATATATATATATATATCATTTTTGTCAATTCAAAAATACATTTTTTTTAAAAAAAGAGAGTGGTCTTCAGACCCACCACAGCATCATTAGCCAGGAGCTGGTGAAAAATGCAGACTCTTAGGCCCCACCCAGCCCCACTCAGTCAGGGTCTGTGTTTCAGCAGGATCCCTGTGCCTGCTGAAGTTTGAGAAGATCAGTTTTAAATGATTGTTAACTTATAGGGCAGATGGCAGTTCTGTGGTCTGTGATGGTTGCTGACTAAATAGTTGAATTCGACTGCATATGTGATTTGCAGCTCCAGCTCTAAGATAACTGGCTGAATTGCATTCTTGCTAATATCCTTAGGCTCCTGGCCCCTGTCACCCTTCCATCTTCCCATTCAGCAAACTCCAATTCGAGCTCAGTCCAACTCTGCTCTTACACCTGGGCTCCCAAAGAAAGAATGCACAGTTATTCTGATTGGCGCCTCTACAGACCCATGGTCTCTCCTCTCCACTGGAGCCTGCACTGTGTTTTCCTCATGCCCCACCCCCATTCCTCAGTTCGCACTCATCTTTTGCAGCAGAAGCCAGTGCCTAGCGCAGTGTCTGCGGTAGAGACGCAGCGAGGCCTGGGCCTCCCCAGTTCTGCAGCAGCCCCTGCTCACTGCCGTGGCGTCCGGCCTATCTTCATTCTTAGAGATTCTTCAGATCTCTGGTCCACTAAGAGTCTGTATTTTCTTTTTGATCTTTTTCCCTTTACTGAGTTCACTTAGTATGGTGCCTGTGCTCAGTCCATCATCTTGAACTCTTGAAGTCCCTGTCCTTCTGATGGATCCTATTTCAAACTCCCCCTTCTCCTCAAATCTTACTCCACCATCTTGTGCCTTACTCTCAGAGAGAAAATTCGAGGTTGTCATTTGATAAATATCTCAACTTTCTGCTACCCACATCCTAAACATCCCTGCCTCAATGCTCCCCTCTCCTCCTGTAGCGGAGGAGGCACAGTTCCCACCCCAGCCCGCCCAGCCGCAGTGGTTCTCCCAGAGTCACCTCCAGAGACTGGGTTCACCTCAACACTGGCCCTGCCAGCCCCTCCCCGCCTTCTCGATGCTCTCCCTGCTGCTGCCTTTCACCACTCTCTCCTGGTTTTCTCTTGCGTCTGGCTGCTTCTCAGTCCTTTTCTTCGGTCATCCTTAGGCATATTTATCAAGGCCCTGTCTTGGCCCTGGTCTCTTCTGCCCCAGTACCAAGCAGTCTCTGCTTCTATGTCTCCAATTACCATTCATAAACTGATGATTTCCAAATAATTTCCAAGTTGGCTAGCTACCTACTGACATATCCACATGTCCACAAACTGAATGCCGCTCCTGGGACCCTTTCCGTCTCTCAAGTTCCCCCATCCTGATGCCCAGAGCCCTTTGAGACCAGCCACCGCCCTCGCTCCAGACTCATCTCTTGCTGCCCTGGGTGAGCTCCCGCCAAGCTGAACCCCCAGAGGGTCCCTGAGCACATGTACTCTCTTGCCCGCCAGGCTTCTATGCATACTTTTCCTTTTGCCTGGAATGCTGTTTCTCAAAGCCCCCTCCTCTCTCTGTTACCCCCCTCAAAATAACTTGACTAATTCCTGCTTAGCAGACATTCCTTTCAATATTGCCTTTTCTAGAAAAATAGAATTTTTAAAGTAAACAAAACATTGACTTATTCCAACTGTTTTGTATCTAGGTAAAGATATAACTTAATTCCAGCAACAAAGCTTTTTAAATAAACACCTGTGTACATATTAAGTCCATTTTCTCTTTAGACTTTTAACTCTTTGAATAACTGTGT